ACCAGGGCGTGGCGAGTGCTGGGCTGGTGAGAACTGGAAGGGCCAACAACACAAGCTTTCTCAGCAGTGATAACCAGAAACCAATAGAGCTGGGATGGAGGACTTGGCATAACACATGGGAAAGGGGAAATGTAACTTCTCAGGATTTACTCTGGTTTGCCTGAGACAGCACGAGCCCTCCAAACCAAGAGCTGGGGTGCACCCTTCCTAGCACAACAACAGCTTCACCCTGCACTTGCTACAGGGCCGTCTCCAGACCATATTGGTTTGGGGCCAATTGTTGTGAGAAGACCAGAGGCCTGCGACCCGATTCCCACCCAGGCCATCTCCATTGACCAGGCAGGTGAGTGGCACAGCTCCGAAGCTGACATGACTCCCATTCCCTGCCTAAAAACTTTTTTAAAGGGAAGGCAACCGCTCACTCCTAGAGAAAGCAGTGTCTTTCAAACATCCCTGTCCTGTATTCCATGGAGCCACAAGAAAGCCATGCAGAGAATTTAGGGTACCATTTCCAAAAAAAAAATCAGTTTGGGGCTGAGATTAGGGAGAGAGACACTGAGAAAAACAAACCTATCTTGGTGAGGAGGTGGAGGGAGAGGAAACACACTATGGGAGATGTGTAGAGCTCAGGGTAGAACACAACACAGAGAGGCAGGTCCATCCAGTGAGGAAGAGTACTACCTCCCACTTGGGGGCCTCCAGCCCCAGGGCCCATTGGTCACAAGCTTTCCTTTAGGAAACAGAGCCACATTCTCTGCCCCTGCTTCTGGCTGCCTCACTCCCCCTCTCAAAGTTTGGTTTTGAATTGTGTGGGCTGTGTGGTCACAGAAGCCTCGGAGGACTTGCAGAAACCCTTCAGCATGATGCCAGGGTCCACTTCAGCAGGAGGGTTGGGCGAGGCAGCAGAGTTCACCCTGTGAGGCAACTCACTCTCCTTTATCACTGAGTGGCTGTCACGTAACCGGAGCAGGATGGGCTGCACTGAGGTGATAAGGTTCCCATTCGTGTGAAGGTTGCACTTATTGGTTTCCCGTCCAGACACCGGTTGTTATATTTCTTTCCTTTTTTTTTTTTTTTGTTGATCCTCACCCAAGGATATTTTCCCATTGATTTTTAGAGAGAGTGGAAGAGAGAGACAGAGAGAAACATCAATGTGAGAGAGATACATCGATTGGCTGCCTCCCGCACGTGCCCCAACCAGGGCCAGGGATTGAGCCTGCAACCAAGGTATGTGCCCTTCACCGAGAACTGAACCCAGGACCCTTCATTCCATGGGCCGATGCTCTATCCACTGAGCCAAACCAACTAGGGCTATTATATTTCTTATATGCGGTGATGGGATCATCCTTCTTCTTTCTTTCTTTATTTTTATTTTTTTATTAAGGTATTACATATGTGTCCTTCCCCCCCCTTCCCCCCCACTCATGCCCTCACCCCCCTGTTGTCTATGTCCATTGGTTAGGCTTATGTGCATGCATACAAGTCCTTTGGTTGATCTCTCCCCCTTACCCCCACCCTCTCCTACCTTCCCTCTGAAGTTTGATGGTCTGATCGATGCTTCTGTGTCTCTGGATCTGTTTTTGTTCATCAGTTTAGGTTGTTCATTATATTCCACAAATGAGTGAGATCATGTGATATTTATTTTTCTCTGACTGGCTTATTTCGCTTAGCATAATGCTCTCCAGTTCCATCATCCTTTTTAACAAAGACCATTTCTGCTGCCCCAGAATGGACCAGTCGAGCCGCTTCAGGGCTCCACATACACAGAAATCTCATCAGTATCTTCCTTGGTGACTCTAAGGTGCAGATTATTCACAGTCATCTTGGTGCCTTCCAAAGTGCTAACCACGGGCTCAGCAGACAGCAGTTCTTTAGGGGAATGCTCCTGGTTCAGTCATGTTCAGGACGTGTTGGTCAAGGCTTTTGTTCCAAGCGAGAAGAGGAGAGCAGGAGCTGTGTATGCATCATTCTGAACCACTTTGGCGAGAGGGAGGGCATTGGGCATGGAAAGCTTAGAAATGCTCGGCTTGGGCATGTGGTGGAGTAAGCTGCCTCAGGCTGGGAATTTCATCTGTTTACTAAGAATGGGAGCTGCAACGTCATCATCTTCATCCAGGCTGTATAAATTCTGTTTGACCTAGTGATTATTGACAATGGTATCCCTCATTCCAGCAGGATGGGCACAAGGTGGTTCTGAAATTTAACTAGTTAACAGAATTTCTGGAAGGATCATATCTTTTCTGTAGTATCGACCAGACTCAGTTTCTGGTGCCTCCAACACAACAGCCTTGATAGAAAGTCATTTATGATATTAACTATAGTTTGAGCAATTATTTATAAACATCAACCACATTAGTGACTCTCAAATGAAAACTAATATGTAATCATTTGCCTACCCAGTGAGATATCCCCTTATTTAGCCTGTGAGCCATCCTATGTTCCAACTTCTTAATGAACTACACAATCTGAGAGATTATTACAATTTATTCCCTCTGGTTCCCCCATTACTTTATTGCTAGGTGATAGGAGAGTAATCTGATTGAGCTAATACAATTATAATTTGAAGAACAAATGATACAGTGTTTTGGAATTAATTTGAACCCAAGAGGACAGTACATTGATGACAGAATAAAAGTGAGTAGAGCAGTAGTCCTGGTTCTAAATTGGGTTACAAATCTTCTCTAAGTACATTTCTAAGAGGCCCAGCCTAAGGCATGAAGCACCAGGTCACCGTTGCAAATCTCTCTAACCTTATGGCTTAACTGTGGTATACATATAACATAGGACAAAAGATAGCCTCCTCTCTACTGCACAACAAAACCACTGAGGCCTGCAGCATACCAGAAATATGTCAGAGGGGATAGAGCTATTGAATGTATTTAAATAAAACTGAAACTGGACTTATTAGCTCACTTTTTAAAAGATTAGATTAACAGTGCACGAGGGATATAGGAATCATAAAAACCGTTAAGAATGGTACACAAATGACTGAGTTTGGGAAACACCTCTCTATAGCATCTAAAATGTTGCCCCTCTAGGATACTAACTTATCAGAAGGGTATTAGCAAAGCTAGATTGGAAGATCATGAAAGATGACCCCTGACCACATTAAAAAATCATCACTTCCATGAATAGTCAATCCGGACCCTGAGACCTTTGGAAATACTCATCAATGAGTCTTTTACATGTTATACACTTATTGTTTACTATGTGTCAGGCATAGGGAGTAATCCATCTAGAAATGTTGATAATAGTCCTTTGTTTGGTTGCTGACACTCACAGTGCCTTCCGCCCTTTCAGACTCTCTCTCTTAAGCCACGGCTGATTGGGATTTTTTGAATTAGGGTGTCACTAAAGAAGTTAACTATGGAGAGAATGGCTGAAAATTCATGCTCATGGAAAGGCTGACATGTCTGTTTTATGGCAGGTACAAGCTGAGAAAAAGGTGATCCTAAGATGTAGAGAGAAAAATATACAACTGACAGATTCAGATGACCAAAGGAGAAGTCAAACGCCCTCTGACAGACAAGATAGAACACCAGTTCCTGATATCTCCCCAGATCATTTGAAATTTGATTGGACTTCATTTTTTGTCCTTGCACTCAGCAGGACAGGCGCATTTATAGAATGTCCACCCATTCACACCCCTGACACATGTACTTTTTATTTTTCTCAAGACACATTGAATGGGTTTTAGTTCCTTGCAACCCAGAGTCCCAACTAGAAAATAAATCAAAAGATAATAAGTACAATAGAGACATGGAGTAAATGTAAGGCATCAAGGAAGAAATAAAGGAACCTGAATGCCATTTGATCACTGACTTGCTGTAAAGCTATTCAGAGGAGATAAAGGTTTTTGAAAATGAGCCCTCAGTTTCTTCTTCTTGACTTATCTCATATTCTTCGGCAATCTAATAATTTGTATCAAACTAAGGTGTTTTCATATGAGGGTTTTTCTTTCAACCTGTATAATAAAGGTCATTAGTAGGGATTCCAGAAGATAATTTTTTATTTCCTTTTTCAAAAGTTCACCTTCTGTTCATCTTCCTCCTATTTCTTCTCCCACTCCCACCCCAGACACACACACACACACACACACACACACACATACACACACACACACACACTCCACCAAAAGTTAACAGTTGACTTAGTGAAAACCAAACTACTACACATATGTATTTATAGAAAGCAATTCTTTGCTTAACCTTCTCTTAGCTACATGCTTTTGTGTTTCAATTCTAATAAATAAAATGATATTTTGATGCAGTCTTAAAGGAGCATACCTACTTATGCCTGTGTAATAGTCATGATGCTCACCCTCACTCTCCTTTCCAAGTAAAGGCAATTTAAGTGCTAAGACTCTTATTCTTGGCATTAATTACTTATGTTGGCTGCTCTCTTTACATCCATCTTCTAATAAGAATAATTAATAATCATAGAATTGATTGGCCTTTCTATGAACCTCCTGAAAGATGCCTGCCAGTTTCTTCCATTCCATCTGGACAAAAAGAATAGCAATAACAGTTTACAAAGCATATTCACATTTACTGTAGGGGTATCGATTTCAGAACAAGTATACATGGAGCTTTCTTTAGGAGCGTACAAACAGCAAGGTATATAAGCAATTCCAAGATGTGGTGCTGAGAACTAGCTTGGAAACCATGGCTTAGCATTTCTCAGCTAACTAACTAAATCTTGTGGGTTTATCTAACTGCATTCACTCAAGAAATACACCTCTACTATTTACAGTGATGTACATGCACATATGCCTACGCATTGAATACTTTCCATGAAATGACATCCAACTCCACAATCCAAGGCCGGTTGGAAGCCAGATAGGATGGAATGTGTAAGAAGGAAGTTACCAACAAAAGTTCAAATGGTTACGGTGAAGAGAATGGCATTGTCCCAGATTTGTAGATCCAAAATTAATCTGTTTATTTCTAAAAGGTATAGCTGCACAGGAACAGAGAAGAGAGAGAGAGAGAGAGAGAGAGAGAGAGAGAGAGAGAGAGAGTTCGCTGTTTGGTTTGTATTTTCTGGGTGATTTCTTTTAAGTGTCACTCCCGGCAGAAAACATATTCAGTGTAAGATGTCCAGATCTTGTCATCTGTCTGGTCATGGGTGATAGTGCAGGTGCCAGTGGAATTGCATGCTACCATGTGAAAGCCAGCATCAGCTAGTTTGTCAAAGGCTTGTTCCAGAAAGTTAAACTTGAGGTAATATCGAGAAGTGTACCGCTCAGGAGGACGGTCAGGGTCTCTGCTCTCATTCAGAGTATCTCCAAATACTTCTTTGGCCAATGAGATCTTACCACACACCATGATTCGGGCCACGCGGCGGAATTTGGCATCTGTTTGGCTATCTCGACCCAGAGTATAGGAGCCTCGATAGCCAATAGTGATGAAACCTGCCTTCTTGAGGTCAGAGCCAGTATTTGCTGTCAGAGCTGGGGGGTTATCAGGGCCAGTAACTTGGATGTTATTACTTGAAGAGAGATTACATGCGATGTCAATGTTGGTGGAAAGCTCTTCTAGATCACTTTGGCATAAATCATTGGCAACTGAGTTGATCATGTTGATTTTCGGAGCCAACATCTTCACTAACTCTGGTAGCTTGAAGTATTCTGCTTCTCTCTGGAGCCGACCACACTCTGGAAAGTGGTCAGGAAGCACTAGTTTCCGGTCCCTCATGTAGTCTAGCACATAGCGAAAGAGGAAACCATCCCGGTCTACAAAAAACCTCCCTTTGTTGTCCTGGATTAGGGAGCAAGGATTCTTTTCACTGAACATTTCCCAGAGCAGGGAGCCAGGAACACTGACCAAAGTAGGATAGCGAGTGATGTACACCTGACCACCCACATTGAGTTCAACAATCTCGGGAAAATGACTGAAATCCTTGCTTGATTTGGTACAACTTGATTTCTCTGGCATGGCCATATTGATCTGCAGAAGCAAAAGACATTGGTTCTAAGTAAAAGTTTACAGTATGGGGATTCTGTTTATAAACATTAATTTTCTGCACTCGTACACACTATATACCAAGAAAATCAAGCAAACCACTATCTATTTTTAACTTGAAAATGGCAGAATAGAAAAATCGCACATCATTTGGCCTTGCAATTATATTTTTAATGTCCTGCTGAATGTTGGGTGTATCAAATGATCACAATCCTCAATTCATGGCATGTTATCGTAGTCCATGCAGGGACTTTCTTGTGGTGTTTGTTGATTTGTTTTGGTTATTCTATTTTACTCTCAGTCCATTCCCATTCCTGTCCCTGATCCCACCATAGGCTGCCATTCTGATGTTTAGTGTATATATATTCTGTGCATATATATTCTTGATGTTATTGCATCATACATTTCAGTCTTCATTTATACATATTTATACACTTTTCACACTCAGCACTATAGTGCTCAAATTCCTTCATGTTGCTATATGTATACCTAATCTCCTGCTTCTAACTGTGACATGATACTCCATGGTATGCACGCACTATGTTTTACTATCTACTCTGTCAGTGACAGACACCCAGATTGCCTCTAACTCCCTGCTCCAATTTACGCTCCTGTACATGTTTCCTATGAACCTGTGATAGAACACATTTAGGCTATATAACCAGCAGTATTTCTGAGTCACACTGTATGCATATACCTAATTTGACTAATCAGTGACATATTGCTCTCTAAAATGTCCTTTGTCTGCATTCCTACTTAATCCTCACATTCCCACCATGACTTGGCATTATCCAGATTTCTAAATTTTGCCACTCTACTGGGTATAAAGTGATACCTTGTTGCAGTATGAGAAAATTAATTATAAAATAAAGAATATAGGCAACTATCGTAAGACCATAACTTAGTACCTTCTCAAATGTCCACTCATTCCTCACTTTTATATCCCAACTTCTGCCTCTACCATTTTACTAGAACCACTGTTTCCAACAAAAAACATGGTGTGCTCATCACCTTTCTTTGCTCCCCATTCTCCTTTATTTCTATACTAGAGTTCCGGTGCATGAAATTCATGCATGGGTGCAGTCCCTAGGCCTGCCAGTGACCAAAGCACGAGTGCCTGGCGTGGAAGGGCAAGTCCCAGCTGCTCTCTGGGCAGCACCTGGGCCCCTGGGCCTCCACATGCCCCCCTCAGCTTGAGTCACAGCGCCCGAGTCCCCACACAGAAATGCAGTGAGCATGGCCAGGCAGTGTGGGCCTCTGAGCCGCCCAGCGGTGCCACATGGAAGACGATCGGGCAGTGCACTCTCTCCCAGCCGGCCTCGCAGACCGGCTGTTGCACGAACCCACAGGAAGCCCAACCGGCCCCTGCGGTCCCAGTGGCTGCAGCCCAGCTCACCTGGAAGAGGACATATGGGTGTGGGGAAGGCTCCTCACAGGCTCCTGGCACCTGAGCACAGGGGTGGGGGCTTCCTTGGCATGCGAGCCCTGGTGTCCCAGGGGAGGGTAGCAGGGGGAGTGAGAGTGAGCTCGGCGGACACCCTGCATTCTCACTGCACCTCCGTCTCCATCACCCCCGCCCCCAGGTAGCCAATGAGAGGTCACAGCACGTCGCTGGCACCTGCCATGTTCCGTGCTGCCCCCTGGTGGTCAGCGCACGTCATAGTGAGCAGTCGAACTCCTGGTCTCCCTGTCAAACTCCCAGTCGAACCACCACCCAATGGGACAATTAGCATATTAGGCTTTTATTATATAGGATATATAGGATTATAATATGCAAACAGACTGAATGGCGGAATAACCGAACAACCAGTCACTATGATGTGCACTGCCCACCAGGGGGCATGTGCGGAACATGATGGACATCAGCAGCAGGTGGCAGAATGCAGAACATGGAGGGCATTGGCCACGGTGGAATGGTGGAGCAGGTGAGCGGGGGCACCGGACCAAGGCGGGGCCCAGTTGCTGTCATCAGGGCAAGCCTCTCATGGTTACTGAAAATTCTTTGCTCCTGTGCACTGTGGTCCCTCCTGGCGCTCACACCTGCTTCTGGCACTGGCCCCACTCGCACCTGCTGCCAGCACTAGAGCCCACCACTCGCACTTGCTGCCGGTGCCCAGTGCCGGCCCCAATCAACTCCCACCTCCCCCTGTTCCTGGAGGACGATTGGAGTTGGCAGCCCGCCTCTCACACCCACTGCCAGAACTAGAGCCACTGCTTGCACTCGCTGCCAGTGCGCAGCAGCAGTGGTGGGAGCCTCTCCTGCCTCTGTGGCAGTGCCAAGGATGTCTGACTGATGACTTAGGCCCACTTGGGCCTAATACGTCAGTCCAACATTCCCCAAGGGCTCCCAGACTGCAAGAGGGCCCAAGCTGGGCTGAGGGACCCCCCCTCCCCCAGTGCACAAATTTCATGCACTGGGCCTCTAGTTGTCCATATTAGACTTTGCTGAGCATCTTCTTACCTCCCAGTCAATTCCAATTGCATCTTTGCCACTGGCTTATCTTGCTTCTCAAACCATCCTAAACTGTGACTGTGCAAGCCTCAAAACTGTGGGGCTTTTTTTCTATCTAATCTCTCCCTCAGAGAAATCATCCTTTTAAGCTTTTCCAACTATTACATTTACATATATGATTACAAAATCCTAGCCTCTCTCATAAGCTTCAGTTCACTATTGGCAACTGCTTGCTGAGTGTACCAGCAGTACCTTGAATTCATCATTTTCCAAATCACACTCATGTATGTGAAAGTGTTTTTTAAAATCTAAGTTATTTTTGCCAAACCGGTTTGGCTCAGTGGATATAGCATCGGCCTGCAGACTGAAAGGTCCCAGGTTCGATTCCAGTGAAGGGCATGTACCTTGGTTGCGGGCACATCCCCAGTAGGGAGTGTGCAGGAGGCAGCTGATCGATGTTTCTAACTATCCCTCTCCCTTCCTCTCTGTAAAAAAATCAATAAAATATATATTTTTTAAAATCTAAGTTATTTTAATAATCTTTGTTTTATTTTTCCAGCCAAAACAGGCCATATTTTATGATTTTCCCCCTGGCAATAATATCACACTTTTCCCAGTCTTCAACCTGGAGATTTAGAAACTTTAGAGTCACCTTAATGACCTCATGTGTATTCCTCACTAACCTAGAAATTACTCCTTTATGAAGTCACTTGCATATACATATTACCACTGCCACTTCTGTTCTTCATTCTGCACTATTGATCTGTCCATCTCTAGCTGAGATCCATCCACATCTGCCCTACAACCTGCCCCAACTTCCAAAAAATATCCTACATTCTATTACCAGATCAGTTGTTATTATATCACCTTCTTCCCTGTTTAAAATTGTCAGTGACTCCTCTTTGCCTAAAGATCAAATCCAAAACTCTTATCCTGGATCTCAAAACTATCTATAAATGAGTTCTTTTCTCTGATTAATGATAAGAATACCTAGCACTGCATAGGACTTACTATGTGCCAGGTATTGTTCTTAGTCAATAAAGTGGGTACAAATATTATCTTTATTTTTCTAATGAAGAAACTGGTAAATAACTTGCCCAATATTAAACTTGCCCAACATTAATAAGTGTCTCAGACAGTAGGACTCCAGTGTCCATGTCCTTAATTGATTGTATCTGTCAAGACCTCTTTACATCTACAAAAATGGTGTGGGTATTATTGCCTGTCTATAATATGTTCAGTTTTTGTTGCCTTTGCCCATACCTTTCCCCTTCTGGTCCTTGGCGTCAAGGATCAATTCAAGTCTCAAGATGAAGCTCCTCCTCATATTTCTTTATTAAACTTGAAAATTTCATTTCATTTTTTACTCTTTGGTTTTTTACTCTTTTACATAATATAATAACAGTAGTATTAGTAACATAGTAACAATAGCTTACATTTAAGAAGCACTTACTATATGCCAGTCTTTTTGGATCTATTTTTTTAATGTATTTTTATTGGTTTTAGAGAGGAAGGGTGAGGGAGAGAAAAATAGAAACATCAATGATGAGAATCATTGATCGACTGCCTCCTGCACGCCCCACACTGGAGAGCGAGCCCACAACCCAGGCATGTGCCCTGACTAGGAATCAAACCCGTATTTTCTGGATCATAGGTGGACATTCAACCACTGAGCCATGCCGGCCTGGCTTGGATCTCTTTTAATGTGATGACTCAGTTAATATTTCTAATAATCGAATGAAGTAACTATTGCAATTCTCATTTCTCAAAGGAAGAAGCAGATGCAGTTCATTATAATTCCTCATACAAACTAGTGTTTTTAGTCTCCACTTACTAATTCACCCTTCACACGATAACTAGAATTATCTTTCTCAAATGCAAAACTGATTATGGCCTTCCTTGTATAAACACTGTCAAAGGCTTCTCAAAGTCTAGAGAATGAAGTTCAAATATATTTAATACAGTATATGAGAAGTTCCACATTGGTCTTTGCCTTATTCCTGGGCTTTGATTCCAACTATCTTTCCCTTTGATACCCCCCAAAATGACTCTAAACTTTAGCTACTGAATCTAAACCCATCAGACTCACCCACTTTTTTATTTCTACATTGCTTTAACTTATGATTCCTTCTGCCCAAAATGTCCTCTTTTACTCTACCCCAACCTCCCTGTCCCTTCTTAAGAAATGTTATAACATAGTGGCTTTGGGAAGGTCTGAGTTTTAATCCCACCTCTGCCATTTACAAGCCGGGTAACTTTGGACAAATTACTTATTCTCTATGAGCCTTGATTTTCTTATCGAGAAAGTGAATATAACAAGGTTCATAAGATGAGGAGGAAATTATACAAAGTATAATGTATTTGAAGTACTTAACACAATGCCTATCATATAGTAAGTATATAATAGATGGTGGGTTACACTGGCTCCCTTAGTTTATCTTGGGTCAAGCAATGAAAGATCCTTCATTTGGTTATGGTACTAGAAGTCTTATAATGATCCATTAAAATTCTGATAAAATAAAACACCCTGTTGAACTGCCCACCCTCCCCATCCCTTCATATCCTTTATTATTGCTTCAGATTGGAAATATCTCTTAGAAGACTTATTATACAGCACACAATAATTATTTATATGCTTGTCCATCCCAAAAAACCTCCAAGTCACATAGTATCTTGACTTAGAAATCTCTGGATTCCCAGCACTGTGAGTCTAGTAAGCAGTGAGCTTATAGTAAGCAATTATTGAATGACTAGAGGCCCAGTGCATGAAATTAGTGCACAGGTAGGTTCCCTAGCAGCTGCTGCCTGCCTGCCAGTGCCTCCATTCCCCGGCTGCTGGCTGCTGGCCAGCCTTCCTTCATTCCATGCCACCTGCTGGTGGTCAGCACACGTCATAGTGAGCAATTGAACTCCTGGTCCATCAAACTCCTGAGGGGACACTTTGCATATTAGCCTTTTATATATATAGATGAGTAAACCACCAAAAAACAAATGTGATATCAATTTCATTCCTTTCATAATTCCACAGGATGACATGTATAGAAATTCATTTTGAGTAGATGTGTGAATATATAAACCAGAAATATACATATACTAAACCTTGCAAATTTCTGAATGCAAAAAAAGCTGTTATATATGCCCTCTAAAAACAGTAATAAAAATCAAAGATAGTTGTTTCTCACTGTAGAAAAAGATCATTTTATAACACAATTAAGCAGGTGAAAAATAGTAATGTTGATACCTTCTTATTTCAGATTATTCTTTCTTGATGCTTTAAAGTTACTTTCTCTAGTCAAGTCAACTGATGGTTTAAAATCCTATGAATCAGAGTCACATTCAACTTGAGGAGTCAAGGTGGGTAGTCTATTTTGCCTCTCACGTTAGAAGAGGATTTTTAGCTAAATCCTAAGGACAGAACCTTTATTTCTGTAGGAAGAAGTCAAAAGGGAAAAATTTAGGACTAGAACTGCAGTATATCCTTAACTGCCACACCCCTGTGGCACAACCACAACCATGTTTTAAACCATAAATAGAAATTTTACTCTAGCCCAGCTGGCGTGGCTCAGTGGTTGAGTGTCGACCTATGAACCAGGAGGTCACGGTTTGGATTCCCGATCAAGGCACACGCCCACGTTGCAGGTTTGGTCCCCAATGGGGGGCGTGCAGGAGGCAGCAAATCAGTGATTCTCTCTCATCATTGATGTTTCTATCTCTCTCTCTTCCACTCCATTCCTCTCTGAAATCAATAAAAATATATTTTTAAAAAGAAATTTTACTCTGAAAGGCATTCATAAAACTACTCCTGAAAGCTAGGAATTCCAAGTTGTTTTAAAGAAAAAAATGGAGGCGGTTCTCCCAATAATGAAAAAATGTCCAACTCAAAAGAGCCTCTGGTGTATTATCATAGCATGAAGTCAGGAAGGACATTTCCCAAACAGGAATATTTCTCTTCTGTTTTGCATGTATTTTAATGTAAAAATATATTTTGCATATAAAAGTCTTCAAATATTTTCCCTTCCTTCCCCCATCCCAGTGTTTCCTGTTCAGCTAGCTCACTGAAGAGGAAGCCAAATAATTGTTCATTCAATCTAACCTTTCCTCAAGTCTTTTCAATGCTTGTTTGGGACATAGCCCTGTAATGTCTCATTTTTTCCCTCCTGCACATGAACCTCAGGCTGATAATGGCTTGTGGTTAGCTGCTCTCAGTAGATCAAAGAAGTAAAAATCTCTTCAAGGAGGAAATGAAAAGAGAAGATGTGAAAGGTAAATAGTTTAAACCAGAGGATGACATGTTCAACCCAGCTGTATGCTCCAAGCCAGGAAAAGCTGAACTTTACATTTCCATGTTTCAAAGACGCTGAAGAAAGTAGCTAGTGCATCACTTGCTTTTGTAGTCAAAGAATCCTTCAAGCAACATTTTGTGTTTTTAAAAGAAAAACAAAGTCAGATATATCAAAACCCCTGATTTCTACCTGAAAATGAGAAGGATGCATTTTCTAAGGAAATAAGTTCATAAATGACCTATTTCCAATTTTATTAACCCTTATAGCTCTGTGTCCTAATATCTCCTCTCTTCTCTCTTTCCCTCTTACTTTCTCCTCTTTTGACCAGTCTGCATTAAAAAATACACTCACTTATAAAAATGAACCCATCAATGTTCATTTGAAGTGTGGTCCCCACCTTTTATGTTGTTCCAGTTCAAATTGATTCAAGAAAGCAAAGTAGTGACAGCTGAACTGGAAGTGTAAGCAAGAGGAAACAACAACTTTAATAAGAATTAAGAAAGTGTCTTTTCCTACTTGAAGGAGAAAACCCCCCGCAGCATTCCTAGCCCCTACAAGTGGCTTGATGGATGGCTTTTTGTCTGTTCCTAAAATGAAATGCTAGTACCCAGATGCTTTAACAACTCAAAATAAAGACAAACAACCAAATGATGAAACGAAATGTGAATTTTCAGAATTCCCTTTCAGGGAAGAAACTTGCCTGCTTGTGGGTCTCTAGGCAGGTTTCACATCAGTCCTGTCTCAGCACACAGAAAGAACACACAGTCATGCGCGTCCCCAGCTCAAATGCAGAAGCTCCAGAATTCCACAAGCTGTGGGCTGGAAAGGAAAGGTAAGGGGATTAATGGAGTAGTTACCTTGAATCTCCAGCCACTCGAATATTGCCAGGCACAACCTCAGTGCCTCTATGCAAGCTTGGCTCAACTTGTGAACTGTCTTCCTGCTCTCCTCCCTTGCCTTTGCTGTGCGCTTGAGGCTCAGTCTGTTTCCCCTTTTAACACTAGGAAGTCTGTAGAACCTCCCCTGCTGCTATGACATACTTGGCTCCCTCCCCAGACAGCCTCCCAGATGGAAAAGGCAGCTTGAGGAGGAAGCAAAGTTCAGAAAGGGAGAAGATGGTGGTGGTGATGTTAATAAAAGAATATCACTTGGGGATAAGAGAAATAATTTTCTGACCTTTGGTGACTCAAAAAGAACAAATAAGCATTTAGCAGCTGCAAATTGTGTTGTTGTTTTTTTAAACTGAAGAGTTGGTTGAATTTTCAACATGGATGCATCAGAGATGTTTATTTTAATAACTTTATTGCAATAAACACTCAAATGACATCCATAGCTCAAATAAATCATTTACTAAGTACTTCTTATGTACCAGATATTATGCTAAATGCTGAGGATAAAGAAATAAATTAGTCACATACACCTTATATTTTAGTCTAAGACAGTGGTTCTCAACCTTCTGACCCTTTAAATACAGTTCCTCATGTTGTGACCCAACCATAAAATTATTTTCTTTTTTTTTTAAATTAAATCTTTATTGTTCAGATTATTACATTTGTTCCTCTTTTTTCCCCCCATAACTCCCCTCCTCTCAGTTCCCACCCCACCCTCCGCCCTCACTCCCCACCCACTGTCCTCATCCATAGGTGCACGATTTTTGTCCATTCTCTTCCCGCATCTCCCACCCCCCCTCCCAAGAATAGTCAGTCCATTCCCTTTCTATGTCCCTGATTCTATTATAATCACCAGTTCATTCTGTTCATCAGATTATTTATTCACTTGATTCTTAGATTCACTTGTTGATAGATGCATGTTTGTTGTTCATAATTTGTATCTTTACCTTTTTCTTCTTCTTCCTCTTCTTAAAGGATACCTTTCAGCATTTCATTTAATACTGGTTTGGTGGTGATGAACTCCTTTAGCTTTTCCTTATCTGTGAAGCTCTTTATCTGACCTTCAATTCTGAATGATAGCTTTGCTGGATAAAGTAATCTTGGTTGTAGGTTCTTGGTATTCATCACTTTGAATATTTCTTGCCACTCCCTTCTGGCTTGCAAAGTTTCTGTTGAGAAATCAGCTGACAGTCGTATGGGTACTCCCTTGTAGGTAACTGAGTTTCTTTCTCTTGCTGCTTTTAAGATTCTGTCTTTGTCTTTTGCTCTTGGCATTTTAATTATGATGTGTCTTGGTGTGGTCCTCTTTGGATTCCTTTTGTTTGGGGTTCTCTGCGCTTCCTGGACTTGTAAGTCTATTTCTTTCACCAGGTAGGGGAAGTTTTCTGTCATGATTTCTTCAAATAGGTTTTCAGCCGAAACCGGTTTGGCTCAGTGGATAGAGCGTCGGCCTGCGGACTGAAAGGTCGCAGGTTCGATTCCGGTCAAGGGCATGTACCTTGGTTGCGGGCACATCCCCGGTAGGAGATGTGCAGGAGGCAGTTGGTCGATGTTTCTCTCTCATCGATGTTTCTAACTCTCTATCTCTCTCCCTTCCTCTCTGTAAAAAATCAATAAAATATATATTTAAAAAAAATAGGTTTTCAATATCTTGCTCTCTCTCATCTTCTGGCACCCCTATAATTCGGATGTTGGTACGCTTGAAGCTGTCCCAGAGGCTCCTTACACTATCTTCGTATTTTCGGGTTCTTTTTTCATTTTGCTTTTCCGGTTGGGTGTTTTTTGCTTCTTTGCATTTCAAATCTTTGACTTGATTCTTGCGCTCCTCTGGTCTGCTGTTGGGAGTCTGTATAATATTCTTTATTTCAGTCAGTGTATGCTTAATTTCTAGTTGGTTCTTTATCACAACATCGAGGGTCTCATTAGATTTCTTGAAGATCTCACTATACTTATCGGCGGTCTCACCAGTCTTTTCGAGGGCCTTACTAAGTTTATCGGCGGCTTCTAGACAGTTCTTGAGAGACCTTAAAAGTGTGGTTTTGAACTCTATATCCTCCATTTCTGTCAGTTGTGTCCTGTTTCTTTGTCTCCGAATTTTTTATGCTTTCTTGGTGCACCCCCTTGTAGTTTTTGTGCGCAGTCTTGTTGTAGTTAAGCCTTGATTGTTGTAGGTAATACTGGGGGGGATTTGACCTCCAGGCCAACTGGCTGTGAGATTCAGCTGTGTCTGCAGTGGGAGAACTTCTGTCCTCTAGGGAGGTGCTAATCTAGCCTTTGCCTAAGGCTATCCCGCAAATGCCTCTGTGCAAGGCTTGGGCAGGGCGGGTCCCAGGGGATCAACAGGGCGGGTGGAGCGAGCAGTTATGGCTGTTCTCAGTCCTGTCCCCAGAGGCTCTGCCTCTCAAAGTCCCAGCAACTGCTGCAAACCTCGGAGAGAAAGCTGCCCTCAAGTTCCGACCAAAGCCAGACAGTCCCGCTTCTCCCGTTTGAGTCTGGGTCCCAAGAGACTCGCCCGGTACTGGAGCTCAGAGCCTGAGACTCCCTCCGGATTGAAACAGACAACTGCACCCTCAGCCGCCAGCCCGCTCCGCACGCACCTCTGCACCTTTGTATTTTCCGCACTGTGCCTCCTCTGAGTCTCAGTATGCTTTTCTCTTTCCTTCTAGTTGTAGAATTTCCCCTCAGTCAGCCTTCTTGTGGTTCTGGGTGATGTCCATTCCATCTTTTAGTTGTATTTTTGAAGTGGTTGTGCGAGGCAGCAATCTCCGGTGTTTACCTATGCCGCCATCTTAGAAAAACCTCTCCATAAAATTATTTTCGTTGCTACTTCATAACTGTAATGTTGCTACTGTTATGAATCATAATGTAAATATCTGATATGCAGGATGGTCTTAGGCGACCCCTGTGAAAGGGTTGTTTGACCGCCAAAGGGGTCGTGACCCACAGGTTGAGAACCGCTGGACTCTAAGAGAACAATTTGTGAGCAAATAAATTCAATATAAGTTAGTGTTACGTTATGAAAGAGGTGTGCACACAGCGCTGTAAGAACACAAAGGAAATACTCCTAGCCCATATAGAGGTTCCCAAAGACTTCCTGAAAGAGATGTCTAAACTAAGTTTTATCAGATG